TTCTCTGCTTTCAGCCAAGATCCATTTGACACCAGCAGTGATATTCCTAGATCCATTTCCTCTTCTAAATCCAGCTTGAATTTCTTGAAGTTCCCTGTTACTATAATGTTGCTACAGTTTTTAAATTTTCTTTAGCAAATTTTACTTACATGTGATATTAATGTTATTTTTTATCATTTCCACATTCTGTTGGGTCAACTGTCTTTGGAATGGGCACAAATAATGGATCTTTTCCAATCATTTGGCAGGTGGCTGTCTTCCAGATTTCTTGGCATAGCAGTGAATGCCTCGAGTGCTACATCAGTTTGTGGAAAAAATTCAATTTGTATTCCGTCAATTCTTGGAGCCTTGTTTTTGCCCATGTCCTCAGTGCAGCTTGGATTTCTTCCTTCAGTACCATTGGTTCTTGATCATATGCTACCTCTTGAAATGGATGAACATCAGACATTCATTTTTGGTACAGTGACTCTGTATATTCCTTTAACCTTCTTTCTGCATCATTCAGTATTTTGCCCAGAGAGTCCTTCAGAATTTCAAGTCGAGGTATGAATTTTTTCTTGAGTTCTTTCAGCTTGAGAAATACTGAGCATGTTCTTTCCTTTTGGATTTCTAACTCCAGGTCTTTGCACAGATCATTGTAATACTTCAGTTTGTCTTCCTGAATTACTCTCTGAAATTTTATGTTTTGCTTTTTTACTTCTTCATATCTTCCATTCATTTTAGCATCTCTACACTTAAGCATAAGTTTCAGAGTCTCTTCTGACATTCATTTTGGTGGTTTCTTTGCTTCCTGTCTTTTTAATGGCCTTTTGCTTTCTTCCTGTATGATGTTCTTGATGTCATCCACAACTCTTCTGGTCTTTGGTTATTAGTGTCTAATGCATCATATCTGTTCTTGAGATGATCTCTAAATTCAGGTGGGATATATTCAAGATTAATTTTAGGCTCTCATGAAATAGTTTCAATTTTCTTCAGCTTCAGCCTGAACTTGCATATGAGCATTTGATGGTCTGTTCCAAAGGCTGCATCTGGCCTTGTTTTGATTAATCATATTAAGCTTTTCCACCATCTCTTCTCACAGATGTAGTCAATTTGATTCTTATGTAATCCGTCTGCTAAAGTCCATGTGTATATTGTTAGGCACCCTTGATCAGTTCCATCACAGAGCGACCCCATACACAACAACATAATACTGCCACATCCTAAGCCATCCTCACAATGTTTGTTACACTCGAGCCCATTGCTGTTGCCACTGTGCCAATTTATCTCGTTGAAGGTATTGCTGTTTTTCACTGACCCTCCACTTTACCAAGCTTGACGTCCTTTTTCAGCAACTGGCTCCTCCTGATAACATGTCAGGAATTTGAGAGATGAACTCTCGCCATCCTGACCTCTAAGAAACATTCTGGCTGTACTTCTTCCATTACAGATTTGTTTGTTCTTCTGGCAGTCCGTGGTACTTTTAATAGTCTTCAACACCAAAACTCAAATGCATCAATTCTTCTACAGTCTTTCTTATTCATTGTCCAACCTTCACATACATAGAAGCTATTCACATACATATTGCCATGGCTTGGGTCAGGTACACCTTAGTCCTCAAACTGATCTCGTTGCTCTGTTAACACTTTAAAGAGGTCTTGTGCAGCAGATTTGTCTAATGCAGTGTGTCTTTTGATTTTTTGACTATTGCTTTCATCAGTGTTGACTGCGTATCCAAGCAAAATGAAGTCTTTGACAGCTTCAGTCTTTTTCCATTTATCTAATGTCATTTATTGGTCCAATGGTAAGGATTTTTTGTTTTATTTACATTGAGGTACAAATCATACAGAAGACTAGTATTTTAAATCCTTTTTGCTTCCAACAAGCAAGGTTGTATCATCTGCATATGTTGTTGTTGATAAGTGCCATAGAGTCGATTCCGACCCATAGCGACCCTGTATAGGGTTTCCGAGGAGTAGCTGGTGAGCTTGAACTGCTGCCCTTGCAGCTCAAATGGCTTTGCAATCTGGCGCATTAACCCACAGCGCCACACCAGGACTCCTCATCTGCATATAGCAGGTTGTTAACAAATCTTCCTCCCATCCTGATAC